TCTACCACTCTGAACTCCACCACTACTTACACCGAACGTAAATGTAAACGCCCGTTAAGAGTCTATTTCACTAGTCCGGTTAAGTAACAAAATAAGCCTTCGGCATTTAACGTTTTATGTAAAACTGGCTAGGTATTTTTACACAAACGAAGAAGGAAATTAAAGATAAAGGATTATACTATATCCGTATTGTAGCATATTTTTAGACAACTTCTTTATTTTTAAGATTTTGATGGTCAAACATCAACAAAATATGCATTATGTTTGGACTAAATTTTCTCGAAAATAAAGACATTATTTAAAATTCCGTTACAATACGGAAATAGATTAAAGTTTTGTGATTACAGTGATATATAATTTATATGGTTTTGTAACAAATTGCTCGCTATTTTATAGTAAATGCTGAAGCTCTGCAAACCTTAATCAATCCTTAATCAATGCACGTGTGTTTGGAATTTTGGATGTTTTTTGAATTTGTGGCTTAACACGACAGGATCGGGCTAAGCCTTAAGCAGATTTCTAAAATATAATATATATTTCCTTCGGCCACACACCCGCTTTACCCGATCCCTGAGAGCCATCCAGACAGTACAGCGTAATAGACTCTTAAGACCGTTATAGAAAAACCCGCTCCACTATATCCTAAATCGTTCGGCATCCAATATATCGACGTGTGCGGCGTTGGGCACGTGTCGCCGATGCCCGTAACTGTTTTTCCGCGCCGTTCGGACACGTGCCGCAACTATTTACAAATTACCCCGCCCGCCGACACCCAATCTAGATCTCTCTTTCAAAGGCCCCCAAAACCTTTGCCTTCCCCGGGGCGACTTATGAATGTTTATTGACTGTTGCCGCCGGTACGGATTATTAAAATCGGACCTGGGCGACGGTTGCTCCCGGGAACTAAAGGAGCTATGAAGGAAAATAGGTTTGGGAAAAATAATTTAATTAGGTGTGTGAGAATCAAGGTCGATTTAATCCGATTTAGAGAAGAAGACAGATATTAGTTACATGGAACAGGTTTTAATGAATTATAAAATGAACAATAGTTTTCATGTTAACTATTAGGGAGTATCATGATATAGAGGTGGGCAAAGATTGGACGAGAATTAAAAATGAATCGTGAGATTTGATTCATTGCTTACAATACGGTTCGTTCAATTGAATCGTGGCCAGCACGGATCTATAAAATTTAAACGATGAGCCCTAAAAAAGGGACGCCTGAATTGAATCGGATCACAATGCGATCGTCCGTTTCTACGGCTCGTTTGTTAGAAATGAATCGTGGGATTCGATTCATTGCTTACAATACGGTTCGTTCAATTGAATCGTGGTCAGCACGGATCCATAAAATTTGAACGATCAGCCGTAAAAAAGACTTGTCTGAATTGAATCGGATCACAATGCGATCGTTCGTTTTTACGGTTTGTTCGTTAAAAATGAATCGTGGGATTCGATTCATTGCTTACAATACGGTTCATTACATTGAATCGCGGCCAGCACGGATCCATAAAGTTTGAACGATCCGCCGTAAAAAAGAGTCGTCTGAATTGAATCGGATCACAATGCAATCGTTCGTTTCTACGGCTCGTTCGTTAAAAATGAATCGTGGGATTCGATTCATTGCTTACAATACGGTTCGTTCATTTGAATCGTGGCCAGCACGGATCCATAAAATTTGAACGGTCAGCAGTAAAAAGAAATCGTAAGAATTGAATTGGATCATAATGCGACTAGTTTATTTTTACCGCGCCACAGTGATATAGACATAGAGATAGTTCGCCATAAATATTTAGACTTGAACAAAACACCCGTAAAAAAGAATCGTAAAAACTAAATCGGATCATAATGCGACTTGTTCATTTTTACCGCGCGACAGTGATATAGGCATAAAGATAGTTCGCCATAAATATTTAGACTTGAACAAGATCCCTATACTAACATCACGGGCATAAAATGCAAACGATAAGAAAGTTATTTACGAGAAAAAACTTATTTATGCTGTGCTTAGTACAAGAGTATCTGTAATGCATTTAATTTTCACGTTAATATTTTTGTTAAAATAATATTTACCAAGTATGAACCATTAAATGTTACACTAAAAAACGAAATCGTGTTTTTAAGCAACACAAATAAATGGGGCGTTAAGTTGTAAAACCCGCTTTATTCTTTTAAAAAAAATGGCCTGATGACATATATTAATAGTGGGATCCTGAAATATACATAAACATAATCCCAAACTACAGTAAAAGTCGCCTATTCCTATATAGAATTCTCTACAAATTACGTTACTGCAGCAAAATCCGTCTTATCCACTTATATTTGCATTTTACTGTTACAAATCCCGCATTTTAAATAGTATAAATCAATAAGTCAAGGTAGGATGCAGATACTGTATGATCTAAAAAAACGCCGTCCAGTTGCCTGGGAAATGACGATCAATGACATTTCCAATAAAAATTTACATATAAAACGATGAGTTCTTCATTTGGTTAGGCCCATAGCCAATATGCATCATACTGCAACAAAACCCGCCTTATCCCAATTATTTTTGTGCTTTTTCTGTTTAAAAATTAAATATTAATTTTTATTTCTAGTAAATCGAGATACAAAACAATGATTCCACTCAATGGACACGTTTTTTTGTTAATTAACGCTTCAAACATTTGCTAAAACAGTTGTTGCGAAACAACGTTTGTGGGATACGACGGGTTTTGCAACTTGACGCCTCAAAAAATATTGTTGGCCTCTGCTCAATATGATAAACAAAACGGCGTCAGCGATGATTATGAAATTAATGTAGATCACTGTCATTTTATATGTAAAATTATATAGGGAATGTCATCGATGTTCATTTCCAAGTCAACCGGACGCTATTTTAGGTATTTTTTTTAGGTATATACCTACTATTTATTATATGTTATATGATTATCAAATCGGAATTAAAATAGACTCAAAAATATTAAAGAAGTCTTTAATAACCAAGAATTAGATTGATAATTTGATATTATTGGTAAATAATCAGTCCAATTACTCCAGTCTCATGTGTTGAAAAACAAATGAAAGAACTGTATATTTCTTTTTCAGGTCCCTTAAGTAATTGTCCGGCCAAATAAGCACCGGTAGTGCCAGTTACGATTCTTGTTTTTATGAAACATAAATTGTGCATGTGGTTCGTTCAAACGAACGAATCGTAGGAGTCGATTCAATATGAAAAATTGAATCGTGTGATTCGATTCACTAAAAAGAATCGTAATGCCCATCACTATCATGATATACACTCACAATCACGAAAAACGGGCATCTTAAAATTTTAATGTAATAAAGTTTAATATATTTTGTTCTACTAGGCCGATATTGATGATTATTTAAGCAATATGTATTTAAATTATTTGAATTTTTATAATCTCTTTCTAAATTAAAAATGAAAATTTCCGTCTGTCAATTATACGAGGGAAAACAAAATGTTGATATTTTGGTGAAAGTTTAAAAGACCCTGTGGGATATATTTAGACGGCAAGGAACCTAAACATGACTTTATCATCTAGGTACATCCTTTTTCAAAAGTTTGTTTTTTGATTCATCTCTATAGCTTTATTTTTGATGGAGATATTCACTTTTGAAGAAGACACTAACTTTTTTGTAATTTTACATTAAAACCGAGCTTTTGCTCTTGGTCCCAGTCAACAGACTTAGGAAATACTTAGTGATTATGATTTATGTAATGTCACTGTTATTGAAAAATCATTTTATTATTGTGTGTTGGTTGTCGGGCAGTTACTCTAGCAGATATGTTTTTAAGTCGAGAACTTGTGTCCACTATAGTTACTCTAATTGAAGATGATAGAGATCAAAATTATATCGCTGACAGATTTAGGTGTGCACGAAGTACGCTTCCTCGAGACAAGTTCATATGCTAGATGTCCAGGAACCTTCGTATGAGAATTTCGAATCAAAACGATCGACTTATCGAAAGTTTATCGTTAAAAAAACGCCGTTTGCCAGCTTTTCAAATTTGTAATGAATTACACCTAGGGAACGGACCGTAATCAACGAAGCAAATCTTATGTCAAAAAAGCCTGCTTCGGGACCATAACTTACTACAAAAGCGAATATCTCCAAGAAAAATAAACTATCGAGAAAAGATGCACCTAGATGATAAAATAAGGGTTATCCACACATTATTCAATTTTGTTTTTAATAAAAATCGCAAATAACTTAGAGCTTTTTCGAAAGCCTGGGTTATCCTGTATATATACAAGATGAAAGAGAATTTTATGCACCTAGAACCTAAAAATCAAGAAAATATATAGGGGACACTATCTAAAACACTAAAGTTATTATCAAAATTAAATTTTAGAATACTGGCTTCTTTACGAAACCCAATATATAAATGAATTAATATTATGTTGTTTCTGCTAAAAAATGGGTGGAAAGACAATTTTTGTTGGAGTTTTGTTTTTTTCAAAAGAACCAAAAATAAACTTTCTTTCAAAGTGCTTGTATGTAAAATATATTTTTTTTAGTTTGATCAAAAAGAAATGAAAATGGGACAACCTTGGTTAGTAGCATAATCATAAACCAAAAAATTATTAATAACATTTATCCTCATTCCTAGAACACACTATTTCCGTTTAAAAGCCCATTAACTTGACACATTTATCCCCCCAACAACCCAAACATTCATATATATTCATAACCAAAAACTAGTAAATATCTAACCCTAATACTAAACCAGAACCAAAAAAGAAAGAAACTTTCATTATAACACCGTATATACATAAATACGAAATATATCCCCACACAGCACTATGCCACCACCAGAATAATCCCGTATCCCGACTCCAAACCGGGAGCGTTATGCGCAAGCCTTTAACGTAGGGGGTTCGATTAGGCTCCTCCCCCAAGGGCAATCAAACGACTGAAGGTGGGTCAGGCCGTGACATGGAAGGGAGGGGCAAAATCAACCCCGAGATGTCACTGACAACCTGTAGTGTGACGCGACAGTCCGTTCGACGGAATCGGCACAACTACATGTCATCTGATCTCTCATACCGGTATATTATTATTATCAACTAACGAAAATAAAATACATTCGACAATTTTCGGTTAGTTTTCTAAATACCTACGAGTGTTTTGACCTGAATTAGTGATTAAAAAACACGATGATATTGTTGAGGTGACAGTTTGGGTTGTTTCAAAGTTAGTGGAAGAACTGTTTCTTTGTTGTTGAAGAAAAAGACTGATTCGAGATGTTGGAGTTTTATCCGCACATGATTAACCCGGCGATGTTACCGGATCATGGAGCGACGATGAGCGGGCCTGACTGTAACGGCAGATCGGGTAAGTTTCTTTTTAAGATATTTCATATTATATAGATACCTGAAATTAAATGATGTATACATATCTCAGTCAGTTTCAAGAAAAGTTGCTTCATGATTGTTAGTTAATACCATATATAATCTGTGTTACGAATCAGGAAAGATTTCGACAAGAGACATCCAAAAAATGACAGAAAATGTAATTTAACTATGAATTAAAATGACAGAGACTATTGTCACTGTCAGGGATCCTGTCGTTGGATAGACTTGTATTTGTATAATATCGTATATAAAAAATCTCAATTTGACACATATTGTTTATTCTAAATTCCTGTCTTATAATAAGGCCGATTTCCACCAAACGGACAATAATGGCGACAAAATAGAAGTTCTGTCGTTTTTAACACAAGAGCAACTACAGTTTCCAAAATGAAAAACGTTTTTGGCGACAGTTTTCGTCATCAACTAAAAGTCCCGTTGGTAGGCAGAAATAGCATTTAAGTATTCAGTGGATCTAAGAAAATTGCCCAAAAACAATCCGACCGAAAACAAAATTACCCGCCAAAAAGAAATATCACCAAATTAAAAATTAACAGAAATAAAAATTCCCCGAAATATCGATTATTGGTAAAAGATTACTTTATAGTGAAAACAATATCTTTTCGGTGAAGAGGTAAAACTGAAGCTGCATACTCTCTTCTTCTAATATTGGTTTCCAACGTACTTCTTTTAGTAGGTACCTACTGCTTACTTTTGGTAGAGTGGTTGACGTTGCTTGACTTAGACTAGCAGATGCGTTAGAGCGCGTCTTGCGTCGTCTTATCACTGTTGCGTATAGTTTTCATGATTCAACTGATCATTCTCCACTTCTCTAGCATCAGCAATATGATTATGTGTGATGCTATTGATGCTTTCCCACAAAAAATTGTTCCCCTATTATTTGAGCATTGCACTTAATTTTTTTGTAATATTTACATTTTCATTAAATTGTACCCGTATGATCGAAAAAAAACCGTCCAATTGGCTTAGAAATGACGATCGATAGCATTCCCCGTATAATTTTACATAAAAAATGACAGCGATCTCATTTCATAGACAACGCTTACGCCGCCGTTTTTTTTTCCGGTCATATAGCATCTTCCCCCTTGTCTTTTTGATACAAATAACTGTGGAGTAACAATTTCTGTTTTCCCTTTTTAGCATCTACAAATTCGACTGTCATTCTACGTGTTTATACTCAGCTGATAATAAGCACAATAAATACAATTTTATAGTAATCAGCTGTTCATACACGGAAAGGCTCGGCCTGCGGATCCGGCCTTCGGATACACGCCTTCGGATCAAATCTTTGCAAGAGACAAAGTCCTTGGCAGGCAAAACCTTTGGTGGATTAAAGCATATCGCGCAGTTATGACGAAAAGATCTACCCATTTAAAAAAGCATGCATTCCATAAAATAATACAAATTATTCTCTAGGAATTTTACTTAGACACTATTAAAAACTTGAGACAGAGACAAACTGAAAGTATTTCGTTAACGCCAACTGCGCAGCGAATTCTAGAATTTTGACGCTCTATAGTCTTAACAAAGAAAGTAGTTCAGCAAATTTTTTTTTAGGTCATTCTATAATAGAATACTAGGTACTTGAAAAATTTTCTTTTGTCTTCCAACAAACCTGAGTGAAATTTGTACGCATTTCTTTTTATATTAATGTTATGAATCCAGAATTTTCTCCTTTTGTTCTCACGCATTTCTTCTTCTACATCTGTTGTACATAAAATAAGAAAATCTCCCTTTGAACTGCTGGTGGAACTTGAGGACATAATGAAGTTTTAATACACCTTTATCAAACCGTCACAGAGATAATACTAAAATTGAAAGTGTCAGCTCAAAACAACTTTAAATACCAACCGCGTACGAAAAACCGTGCATAAGTTAGCCGCGATTCGCAAAGGATGATGACCATCGATGACATTCCCCATATAATTTTACATATAAAATGACAGCGATCTTCACTTCATAGCCATCGCTAACGCCGTTTTTTTCTCTCAGTCTCAGCTCTGTCACATTGGAACCCGCTTTATAGTAAACTTTTCGATTTTTGGCTTATTATCAACTACAAACGATGCAATTGATTGTAGTAAATTCAATTTTTTTGTAGTACCAATAATTAGCCAGAAAAAGTAAACAATTGTGCGCAATGTAATAAAGAATAAAAATATTGTTTTAACAAATGTCTAAAAATCTTCAAAATCGTTTGTAGTTTTATGTAGTAACAAAAAAACTCAACGAAAGTTTCTTGGAATTAGAGAATTATAGTAAAATTTGGAAATTAACATAGTTTCACATAATGTCTTTAGTTGTATACAAACTACAAACGATGCAATTGATTGTAGTAAATTCAATTTTTTTGTAGTACCAATAATTAGCCAGAAAAAGTAAACAATTGTGCGCAATGTAATAAAGAATAAAAATATTGTTTTAACAAATGTCTAAAAATCTTCAAAATCGTTTGTAGTTTTATGTAGTAACAAAAAAACTCAACGAAAGTTTCTTGGAATTAGAGAATTATAGTAAAATTTGGAAATTAACATAGTTTCACATAATGTCTTTAGTTGTATACAACTACAAACGATGCAATTGATTGTAGTAAATTCGATTTTTTTGTAGTACTGATAATTAGCCAGAAAAAGTAAACAATTGTGCGCAATGTAATAAAGAATAAAAATATTGTTTTAACAAATGTCTAAAAATCTTCAAAATCGTTTGTAGTTTTATGTAGTAGCAAAAAAACTCAACGAAAGTTTCTTGGAATTAGAGAATTATAGTAAAATTTGGAAATTAACATAGTTTGACATAATGTCTTTAGTTGTATACAAACTACAAACGATGCAATTGATTGTAGTAAATTCAATTTTTTGTAGTACCTACTAATAACTAGCCAATAAAAGTAAACAATTGTGCGCAACGTAATTAAGAAAAAAATATTGTTAAAGACATTATGTCAAACTATGTTAATTTCCAAATTTTACTATAATTCTCTAATTCCGAGAAACTTTCGTTGAGTTCTTTTGCTACTACATAAAACTACAAACGATTTTGAAGATTTTTAGACATTTGTTAAAACAATATTTTTATTCGTTATTACATTGCGCACAATTGTTTACTTTTTCTGGCTAATTATTAGCACTACAAAAAAATTGAATTTACTACAATCAATTGCATCGTTTGTAGTTGATAATAAGCCAAAAATCGAAAAGTTTACTATAAAGCGGGTTCCAACGTGACAGAGCTGAAAGTCTCTGCTTTATACACTTTGCATAAAACAACCCAATTATAAAATAAACACGAAATAATATAAAGTCATAAAAGCCCAACAACTTCGCAAATATTCAAAGCAAATTCAAATGTGTCAAGCTGTCAAGTGAAACGTCAAACAGAATTGATAACAGATGATATTTCCATGATGTCGCATCTATCTCGCAGGAACATAATAATAAATAAAATAAAAATAAGTAATAACAAAATAAAAAAAATCATTTTTTGTTACACTCTAAAGAACATTTTGAAATAATTATGCCATTAATATTTTACTAATGTACTCCAATATTCAGTAATAAGAACACCAGGTTGACCTTAAATAAACGTAACTAATAAGATTCGTAGATGTGTTATTAAGAATTATTAACTTTTAAAGAAAAAAATACAAAGTTTTTACTACTACATAATATCATTACCTGAAAAATATCTTAAACGTTAAGTACAATCGAGAAAATATTTACCTACTAATGCAGGCACAGGAGTAAGCCGTCTAAAATCCCAAATAGATTGATCATATGGCCTAATGATTTTGCTCCATCCTGATCCCCTCCGTCGCCCGCCCATTCTAAACGTCAGAATGTTACGCACCCCATTTGGCGTCCATTCTAGCGTGAAGTGGAATGCCTAGCACTCCATGCCTCGTTGGATCTCAAGATATTTGCCCCGACACAGGCGCTTGCCAGAAAGTGAAAGCTAATATTGATGCTTAGAAAGGAAAAAGGGTGGGGTGGTAAAAGGGAACAATTTTCGCTTATTAAAAGCAGAATTATTAGGATTTGCACAAAGAAACCTTTTTTACCTCGTGTTCTAATCGTTAGAAAAAAGAAGAAACTGATAAACATATATAAGTATTGCAGCGTTCTCTAATTTGCTTTCATGTATTAACACCGATCAATTTATTAATTTGTAGTTTTATCACAGATTTGTAACTGAACTGTAAAAATGAGAAAGAAAAACATAATATAATTTTATTAATATTATATATTATAATATATGAATCGGGTGTTGTTATGAATTTAGTATTCAATATTCAAACATCAACAAAAATAAAAAGAAACAAAACTCAGCTTGGATGCCGATGCCGGGACACTTGTATGATAATCTTTGATCACGCAATTCGCAATCTATAAAAATAAAATAAACTTGAGCTTCACTGGAAAACGCACATGATCACATCACCATAATCAAGTATATAAAATAGTTAAATATTTATGTTGTTGTTTATTAGCTAAGGCCACAAGGCGTCGGTACCATAAAAATGGATGGCCACAATGCGACATAGTTTAATGTTGTTGTTTTATAGTGAAGCAACAAGGTGTCTGTCCAACAAAAGGGATGGCCAGAAAGCGACATAGTTTAATATTGGTGTTTCGTAGCTAAGTGACGAAGCGTCTGTCCCACAAAAGGCATGGCCACAAAGCGACATAGCTTAAAGTTGTTGTTTTGTAGCTAAGCGACAAGGTGTCTGTTCCACAAAAGGGATGGCCACAAAGCGACATAGCTTAATGTTGTGGTTTCGTAGCTAAGCGACAAGGCGTCTGTGCCACAAAAGGGATGGCCACAAAGCGACATAGCTTAATGGTGTTGTTTCGTAGCTAAGGGACAAGGCGTCTGTCCCACAAAAAAGGGTGGCCACAAGTCGACATAGCGTTTGTTGTTATTTCGTACCTAAGCGACCAGGCGTCTGTCCCACAAAAATGG